GAAATGCAACTGGATGTATGCAATGGCTGCTTTGATGGCTCTGAGGTTATACAGGCTTATGATGATTTTTTTAAAATGCCAATTTATCATTTGGAACAAAGGGCCATTTTTGAAGGCAATAAAAGTGCAAGACACGATTCTATGCAAAAGAACGCCTCCTTTCACTATGCCAACAAAGTTTGGTTTGGGAATGACATTTACTAAAAGTCAACCATCCTGTGTAGTATCATACATTTGGCACGCCTGGCAGGCGAGCTAATTCCGCAACGTATCTCTTGCCAGTGGAGGTTGGACCATTTCCCTAGGAAACCACAAGGGTATTACTGTGCTTTCTCAAGAATTCAAACAGGATCTGTTCACTAGAAAGACAAAATAGCTATTTCAGCTCAACCAGCACTTGTGGAGCTTGCCGTCTGCTTAACACTGGGTTGGTCCTGAAGAAAATGTGCGCAGAAAAGGCATGGTTGGTGTACAAGGACATGGACATTCTAAGAAAGGCTAACACACAAAACTGGGAAAAATGCCAAGTCAGTTGTAATAAGTGGCTGTAATTCGTGGTATTAAGTCTTTTCTTAGCCGTACCCTGCAATCCCGTAGCAGGGCAGTGGCGATAGAAAGAGAAAAAGAAACCAGTCCTGGGGACACTCAAATGTTTCCTAGTCTACACAGGACCCTACACCAGAGCGCAGGTAACAGGGGCGGAATAACAGCAAGCTGCGTGGCCTTTGGTGTTTCAGGCTCAAAGGTTTTTGGAGGAGACAGACTTTCACGTCTTTTCTGCTTCTTATAAGTGTTTTAAGCAGATAAAAACCATGAGCTTGTTCTGTTTGTAATTCAGAAAGGAGAACTGTTCGTGTGTTTCAGTGACTGAAAGTGTTTCCAGATCTCTCATTTCAGATCATCCCGGACGGTATTTATCGTCCGACCACAAATTCCTCCATTGAGTATTCAGTATATTCCATGTAGCATCTCACTGTGTATACCGTCTCACACTGTCTCCAAGTGTTTCACCTGCCCTGTCTCCCCAGTGGGAGGGAGATATACACATGTGTGCGTGCGTGCGCGTGTGTCTACATAAGTGTATATCTGTAATATACAGACACACATTATATATGATTTATATACATGTTTTTGTATGTCTACCCATATTATACATATACACTCTTATGCTAGGAAAATAGTCGACTCGAATATGATTTGAACATGAACTGATTAGAACTGAGCTTGGGGCCTTGATATAAAGTGCATAAAATACTGTTTAATTTACTAGTGGAAAATCAACGAGCTATTTATTGTTGGTTAGTTTAAATACAAACTAAAAATAATTCATATACAATGATTATTGCTCATGTAAACATATGCGAGAACATCATATCCTCTCAAGCAGACTGTCAGTTCCTTGGCAGGAGGGACTCTAGTTTCTGTTTCCGGCCATACCCTCCCCACTGCACAAGATGCTAAGCACATGACATGGCGCATGGCAGGGACTCAAGTATCTGTATACCTGCCCTTTGCTATATCCTGAGATAACACTTACCTGGCGGCTTGATCACCTAGCGATCCAATAAAAATGGCGAAAGCATTTACTTGAGGGTTGCTTGTCAGGATTTGGGCCAACTTGGAAGGATGTATTCCATATCGTGACAGGTTTGCATCACTCAAGACAATGACGAAGTACTCGTCGGCTTCTTCCTTGACAATTTCCTCGATGGCATGTTTTGTCCCCTCTAATGTGTGGTCCCCACTCATGCAGAACTGTGAGTGGGCGTGCATTGTCTGGGGTAAAAGATGGTGCACAAAAACCATGGATGAGAAACTTATGTTAACAAACGTGACGATTTTTCTATTGACTGTGAGAAGGCACCAGTCCCAACTATGACACAGGAATAAGGAGTGTCCGAATGAGCTCTATTCAACTGGCACCTTAGAGTGACAACAGTACACAGTGATATTTGTATGTGGTTAAAAATTTTGTTGGAAACAGGAAATGTTCCAGAACTATCCCAGTTGGCACTTATTTTTAAAACTCACACAGCCATGTAAAGTGAGAAAGTGTGAGAAAATGTAAAAAACTTGGCACCACACGGGAGGATGAAGATGACACAGGAGAAAAATAAGGAATGGGTTGGGTTTTCCATAAACAAAGTTATAATACTAAACACTCTACTTACATCAACAGCAACAGAGGGACCTTACATTGAAATCATGGTGTGTGTTTTTATTGTAGATCTTGGTATGTGAAATTGAGTTTATCATGAAAAAATACTAAGAAATACATAAAATTGGGGTTAGAGAGCTAGATATTTCAGTAGAAATATCTACTGAAATAGCTAGGAGCTGGGAAGAATTGTATAGGATAAAGGAGGGGACCCAGGTTGTAGAATCCCAATACGATACTGAGTACCCTAAAACTATAAGGAACCAAGTTTAATTTTGTCTGGTAGAGAACAGGATGTGAGGCACGAGTGCTTTCTCAGCTTAATGCTTGAACGTTTGCGAAGCAGAAAGTCTGCTTTCCTGTGTCTGCTGCTTCTTCAGCGAATCTTTTCGGTACCAGAGACACTTGGCCTAGGCTGGTGGGGTGTTCACAATATAGAGGTGACAGGATGTATTTACCTTCAGAATGTCCAGTCTTTGCTTATTGTCCTTGGGGATCTTGTTAGCTGGAACTAGGTTAATGTTGTAGTCATCTCCAGAGTGTCCAACGATGTCATACTAAAGGCGAGAGAACCAGGGAGTTAGAAGTGTCTGTCCCCGACAAAATTGTCATCGGCCCTATCGGCCTCCACCCAGTTGGTCTGTCATTGTCCAAAATTGCTCAACATATGGCGGTGGAGAAGTGTGGACAGACGGATGTGTGTTTATCAACAAAGACCAACCAATTCCAGGCCCCTTCACTTCTGGTCCGTCCTCTTGTGTGATCTCTGCTCTCCAGGAGGGGGTAGAGAAGGTGATGAGGGCTACTGAGAATTCCATTCTTAAGGGGAGAATTAAAAAAATCACACACACACACACACACACACACACACACACACACACACACACTGTGGCAGGCAGAGCTCTAAGGGTATCTTAAGATTCCTGCCCCCTGGTTTAGGCAGCCTGTACATAGCCTCTCCCCTTAGTGTGGGCAGGACCTGTGAATAAGACAGGATATCGCTCATCATATGTTACGTTTATGTGGCATGAGGGATTTTGCAGATGTAATTAAGGTTACTAATCAGTTGCTTTGAGTTAATCAAGGGGGAGATGATCCAGGTGGGCCTAATCTAATCACACAAGCCCTTTAAACGCACAATGCTTTTCTGGCTGGTAGGAGAAAGGAATGACAGAGAGATCTGAAGCACAGGAGAACCTGACGGGGGCGGGGGCGGGTTATCTGTGGCTGAGACGGAGGGGACCACAGGGCATGGCCCCCAGAGTGGCACCTAGGAGCAACCTTGGCTGAGAGCCAGCAAGGAAACAGGGTCCTCAGTCCTGCAACCACAGGGAACTGAATTTTGCCAACAGTCTAAACGATCTTGGAAGCAAATTCTTCCCAGAGCCCCGGGTAAGAGCCCAACCTGGCCGATGCCCTGATTTCAGCTTATGAGGCCCGAAGCAGAGATCACAGGGGAATGTGTGGGGGCTGCTCACCTACAGAACTGCTAGTTAATAGATGGGTCTTGCTTTAAGCTGCTACGTTTGCAGTAATTTGTGACACAGTAATAGAAAACTAATACATATGTATTTTTGTCTGAACAGAAAAGTGAAACATATTCACTGGAGAAATGACAGAAAAGCACAAAAAGAATGTAAAAATTATCCATAATCCCATTACTTAAAGATAACCTCTGTTAACGTTTTGTTGTATAAGTTCCTAGGCTTTTATTTCCTTTTGCTGCACGTGTAAGAGGTTGCACAATACACACATACATACCTACAGCAACCTAATTTTTAAAGAAAATGGATAACGTTGCCCGTGTGACTTTATAATCTGATTTTCTACTTAATAGCGCATGACATATATTTTTCAATTTAGAACATAACTTTAAGAATTTCTATCTCACCAAGTCCATGAGAAAGTTCTCTGTTGAGAAAGAACTAGAGCTGAGAGTGAGGGGACACAGTTCGTTTACAGGATCTGGAAAGAGGTCTGGCGCCTGAGGCGAACTATAACTGGGCCAGATGGTTCACGCCACCTGCTGAGTTTGCCCCCAACTTCCCTTCTCCCCTCCCACCTCGCTCTAAGAACTTTTGTGATGCCGATGTGAAGGGTAGAACAGACCTCAGGAAATCTTGGTAACTGGGGCATCTGCTAAGAAAATTCTGAGTATGGGTCTGGGGTGAAAGATTTTAGGGGGTGCTTGGAGTACTATGGCACAAAACGCTTAGGGATCACTGCTATCTATTCACCAACTGACCACCAGCCCACAGCGGTCTTTTGAACACCTACTGTGTGCAACACACTACTGTAGGTATTGTGGGGGAATGCAATGATCTCTTCTTGTGTCTCCCGTTTTAACTGGTGGGTTCTTTGAAGGCTAGGCCATATCTTATTCATCTTGGAATTTTAGTATCCATGAGTGTATCACACGGACGCTCTGCAGTCAAGCTGGGGCAACAGCAAGCTTTCCTTTCCCATGGGGGTTACATTATTTCACACACCAGCTGTTTGGAAGTTGGAATGGATTTTCTGCCCCAGCAATGAGATGATAAACGGTGGTTAGTCCAAGCTAGCTGACAAGAAACAACCTGTAATATAACTGAAACCATTGTGTTTAAGATGAAAGGAAGTAGAAAAATTCCTGTTGAAGTAATTTTTATGCAAAAATTGGAAGTCAGACGGCAGTCTGGTTATTTGAGGAAGATGAGCTCCATTTTATTTATTTATTTATTTATTTATTTTGTTTTTAGCTGAGCCATCCTGCTACCTGTTGGCAGCTCAGTGGCTGCTCAGCTTGGGCTGGACTCGAACTGCTGTTGCTCAGAGCTCAAACTCTTGAGTGAGCTCTTAACCAACTGAGCCACTCAGCCGGCCCGAGCTCCATTTTAGACATAACGTGTATTTGGGGAGGTATCAGAGAAGAAATCTGTTTCATGTGGTCAGAGGTGTGGCTGTCATGCCCAGGAGGGGGACACATGACTGCCAAGGGTGACTACAGAGAGAAGAGCAGTGGACCCCCTCCAGAGAACCTTGGTGGGGTGGAAAAAAGACACAGAGCTGAGTGAAGACAGGGTACAGGGAGGCGGCAGAAGCAAGATAACGGGGACAGCCCAGGGAACCAGTGTGTAGGGTTTGAACTGTGCTGAGTTACACTAACCGCGACCATCAAGGAGAATGGTGACTCATGACCTTTGGACATCAGAATCAATGGTGACCTTTGGGGGACAATTTCCGCTGTAGGTTGTGGTATAAAAAAGAGAACTAGGACAGCATCTGGAAAGCCAGATGGTTGGGGGACAGGTGACTGCATTTTACAGGCAGCGGGACAGGGGCAGTGAGTGGGGACGGAGACCAGGGTCACAGTCAGAGGGTCTAGTCTGGGGAAGGAAGGAGGACCACCCCGTTTTTGTGAGACCCAAGGAAGGCAGAGACAATGGGACTCGACAGAGACAAGCACATAATTGGAAAAGACAGGTGTACAAACAAAGGTCCATATAGGATGCCTAAATATTTAAAAGCTATAAATCAGGCTATAAATTGTTAAATAAAATATTTTCTGTCCTCCTACTTTGATAAAAGAAATCATGATGACCTGGAAAACCAAGGTCAAATTTTAGACACATGGAGTCGTTGAAGTTCTCTGAAAGAATGTGGCAGTGTGTGTGTGGGGGGGCCCTGGCTTACAGCCCATCACTTCTTCCTTCTACAGTTGTCCCATGCCGGGAGGAACCTCACATGCCCACGTGTGGACACAGTCCCACCATGCACACGCCATCCTACCCCTCCATACAGGTGCCCCTTGGCCATCTCTCACGTCTGGGTGCTCATGCCACTGGCCAGTCTGCCCTGGGAAGATGGGCCTCGGAGATGCCCGCGGTCCACACAGGCCCCGGACGCAGGCTTGGGGTCATCTGCGTGGGACAGCCGGGGATCGAAGAACCGGGAGTATGATCTAGAAACGGGTTTCCTGAGGCTCCACAGACTCCTCACCTCCCGGGAGGGGTACGGTCAGAGGAGGGCCAGCGTGGAGCCTCGGGCAGGGGGCTGGGAGCTTATTCTCTGCCTGGTTTTAAGGATCTTTTTAAAAAATACAAAGGACGATATAAAATAATTGTGGGGGAAATTTACCAATACGTTAAAAAACCTTGACAATAAATGCTTCCTAAGGATGTAACAGATACTATACATGAAAAAAAAAACAACCTCCTTAGTATAGCTTGATATCAATGTAGCAAAAAAGGTAACACATTTATATCAGTGTAGTGAAAAGGTAACAAAATGTGAAACTAAAAAGCTGTACAGCTCTGGACAGTGGACAACTACAGGAGACTGGGGCTGGCCGGGTGTGGCGGGAGCTGCACCATTTCTCCAGAGAAGCACGCCCGAGCCCTGTCACGTCTGATGTGACAGTGGCCACAGCAGAGCCTGTTTTAGGCCAAGACTAAAGTCATCCTGAGACGGTGCCAGGCAGGCCGCTTCCATTACGGGGCTGGTGAAGTAACCTGCTAAACAGGCGCTTGCACGACGGGATAAGATCAGCTCCTTGCAATAGAAGGTTTCGCTTCTTTGGCTGAGGTAAGAGGGCTAAAAATGTGTGAGACCTTTTCATCCCTTTTAACTGAAGGTTAAACGTCTTACTAATCAGATGACCATGGGTGAGACCATAGAAATAAATATTTGACCATGTGGTTTGCTCACAGGGTTGTCATAACTCGTCACTGCTAGGAAAATAGTTACCAGTTAATGATTAAACAAACGGCCCTCTAATGAACTGTGGAGGCACTTTAACAGGTACTGGCTGATTGAATACTTGAGAAACATTTCAGTAACTATCCACCTCTAATTTCACTTATCTATCTATCTATGTATCTATGTATCTATCTATCATCTATCATCTATCTATCTACATACTGTATTTTTTCAGGCAAATGAGAGATGGGTTGTAGACTTCCCTTTCTTCTTCCCTCCCTTCTTCCTCTTCTTCCTCCTTTTTCCCTTCCTTTTTTTCTTTGTGGTAAGGAAAGTGCTATTTGCAGAATTATCTGCCTTTGTCTACTGCACTGGCTGAGAAGACCACCGAAGGGATAGGATGTGGCTTATTAAAGGGTAATGGAAACAATACATCTTATGTCATAATCTAAAATCTGCCTTCCCAGGACCCCAGCATGGTTTACAGACAATAATTTGCTAATCCTCCAAAGTGTCTGGGTTAAAGGGAAAAGTATATAAAGTCACTCACTTCCGTTCTCTACCCCTTGATTCTGCCTTTCAGCCACTCTGGTTCTGCCGTGACCATTGTCAAATCCCTTGCCAGGGTCTACAGCATGCTTCCCCGGAGAAATCACAGACATCGTTGAATAGGAACCTTACTGCCATCACCAGACACATGACACAGAGATTATAGCTTTTTCTGAGCAGCTCAAAATTTTTATGACCATGATTTCTGCACTTTTCAGAGCATTCCTGCAATCCTTGTGGAGTCTTATATTTAGTATCCAACTAAATAATAAACACAGTAGTAAAGAAAAACCTCAACCACAGAAGACCAATATGAACACTTCTTTGCTTT